AGAACAGCGCTGCTCCATATAGCTGATGACACAGTATCGTTCTGACCATGGGGCTGGACACAGTTTACCTGCCCCTATCTACATTTATTGCTGTGGGACATAAGCGGTCCTTGGAGGAAATAGGGGCAGGTATTGAAACTATGTACAGTCCAATGGACGGAGCGATCCTGTGTCATCAGCTATATGGAGCAGCGCTGTTCTGACAGGAGGGGGGGGGCAGAGCACAGAACCGTTAATCCTTGCTCTCTCATCACTTTCTGGACTTAACTGCTCCAGGCTTCCTTTCCTTTGTCCCGAATCTGAGTGTGGGGATGGGGGGGAAGGAGCTCAGCAGTCTGGGGGGGCACAACTGAAATCTGGGGGGGGGGCACAGCCCTCCCCAGCAACCCTTTAGATCTGGCCATGCAACAGAGACACCTATTATGAGGACAATTATCTAAGAAGCAAATTCTCCTCATTTAAATATTTCCTTTAACTTCCTGTGGTGTCACTGGGACAAAAAGTAAAGGGAAATTTCCCCTATTCCAGGGATTTTAACCCTAATCTATTCAAAACTAAAAAAGGTTTTGGTTATAGATATACTCTATACAAAGCCAAACTCTCAAGTGTAGCTCAGACGGAACAATTGTTTTTTATTTTCCATAATGGGGAACCATTACAAAAGCACAACAGCATGAACCTTTATTCAGTTGTATTTTGACCATGTAGCGTCTCGGCACTGAAGTACAAAAATGTAAAAACCTTCCAAGGGATTCCACTTGCCAGCCGCCATGACAATTTGAAAAACAGCCCCACAAAATATTGATGTGCAGTTATCCTGTGGTTTGAATGTAGGAAGATGCTATCATCAAAGAAATAACTATGATTGGAATGGATCTAGATGGTCAAGGTCTAGACAATGGACAACATACCAACACATTTGACCCTGACCCATAGGTATTTATTTGTTTAGAGTGTTTTTTTTCCACGCTCATCATCAGAGTTGACATCGACGTGCTACAAAACAGTCTGTGCATTTGCAGTGCATGGATTCTGTTTGTCACCTGCGGTGCGTGCGTGTGGCTTTGCTCGTAAACTAAGAATTATTGCTGCGAGCAGCACAGGTTGCACAAACTGGAACTCTGCACGAAAGATAAGCAAAGTTTATTCAACTTTTCAGTCTCTGATATTTTTTTCTTTTTGTTTTACCATGTAGTTGATCAGTAATCAGACTAATACCATACCACTTCATATGATAATAGACAAAAGGTGTCTAGCTTTAGGTTTAAGCAAGTGCAACTTTACAAGCAGAGTAGCATGATGTGATACTGCACTCATTTTTATTTAGATTAGTTATTAGCAGATTATTGTACTTTTAAAATATAACTAAATCTGGACTGAATTCTGACATATTGGATAATTATGGACAAGATGAACTTCTTGAACTTTCAATAAACTTTCACATGATGAATGCTATGGCTACTGAAAACCACTCGAATCCGGAAATTACTGGATTAAACTGTAAGTGATTTTGCAGCTCTGACATTTTCTTTATTATTTGTTGGTCCTTGATGTCATTGTCATGTCTGTTGGCTACTATATTGGGGCAATTAGTTATAAAAGGAGCAAAGGTGCCCAAAGACATGAGATGGCAGAAGACCAGCCACTAAATCTTTAGTATGGTCTTTAACACAAATGGTATTACTGAACAAGTCTGAGTGTTTATTATACAAGTTGTCCATAGTGTTGGTCTAATCTCAGCAGAAAAGTATTTTGATTTGCTTGGAAAATGTCATCTGTCCAGTTGATCCTTCCCCATAGATCAATCAGCCAAGACATGTCTGCAAAGGTCACAGAGTGGCGTTGGTAATGTAGTTGTCTTCTGGTCCAAAAATAATTGGTCAATCTGGTTATTTCATGCCTGTGGGCAATTTAAAGAGAAACTTTCAGCCCATCTAAAAGTATGTAACACAAGACATTCTTCCATATCTTTATTAACTTGAAAACCCTCCTCTGTGTGAACCACCTTTAAAACTAGTTTCAATTTGTTACTATTGTCAGGACTTCCATCATTTTTTAGGGCTAAGACCCATTCTTCTGTTACTGCCTATTTCAACAAATGTGCCCTTATTGGTCACTGAAGCACTCTCATTTGACAGAGAGGTGGTGGATGTCTCAAAGTCAGAAAAGTCAAGTTCACAGTAACACAATGGAACCAAGATCAGAGAGCCCTAACAAAGGTAATAGTAGGGACTGTAGAACTCTTAGGAAAGATACTACTTGTAAAGGTTTATAGTGGCTGACAGGCCTGATTCTGGTTTTCTGTTAGACCTGTATTTGATTCAAATGGAAATATATAATAGGAAGTGCACCAGGAACTCTAAGCCTCTTTTTGCAGTAGATGGAAAGAGACTGATTTAGACATACGTGCTCAGCTGCATTAGAGGTTCTTTTAGATATTTTATTGAGATAATCACAGTTTAGTTACCAGAATGTTACCAGAACCAACTGTTACCAAAAAACTAATTAGTGAAAGGTCTTTTTTTCTCCGACTCACCTTTTTGGAATGGGGTGGGGGGGGGGGGGGGGGGGGGGGGGGGCATTAGTCTAAGAGCCAGGCTGAGAAACCAGGACTACCCTGCTAACAGCATCTTTGGTATCAAATAAAAAGGTGCAGGATACAAAAATGCCTTTTTATGTTTTTGTTGGTTGGTCAAGACTTCTTTCCTACCAGCTGCTATCTAAGGACCTTGGCCAAAATTAAGTTGAGGAGGAAGTCAAGAGCTGGGATACTGCATGAAGAATCCAGATCAGGAAGTTTATCTACTTTAGCACAAGATTTGGACAATTCTGTCATTAATTTCAGAGTTTGGATAAAGCCTCAAATGTTTTATACTGACCCATACAATACTTAAAAAAATATTGAAAAAAAAAATAGAATTTACCTTTTTAGCATCTTTTTTTTCTTTATATTTTCTGGCTAACCTGGAGTATCAAAGTTGGTCTTCTTGAGCTTAAGTTTCCTCTTATGGCAAAAAAAGAAGAGACTGGTGAGCTCACTACAGCTGTTGGAAAGGCCAGCTAAGGCTGGAGGCCAATGTGGCCTATAAGCTCTGTAAAGTGGGTGGAGCTAAATAACAGAGGTGTATTTCATGGCAAAGGTAATTTTTCCTTTTTATATTCAGCAGATTTACTGAATGGTTCATTTTACTTCTTTGTCTGCTTATTACTTATGCAACAAAATATACCAATGTGAACTGGCAATCACTACCTTTTTTCCAATAGGAAACTCAAGATACTAAGGCGCTGGTTGCTATAAGCTACAATACATTTCCTGCTTAGTGCACTTTCCTACATAAAACCCAAAATGCTTGCCAAACTTACCGTAATTAAACTTAAAAATAAGTAGGATCATTTTTGCATAGTCCAGTGCCCCAAATGATAGTAGAACAGAGCTTTAATAAATGCCACATCAAACCTACCTTGGCACTGCAACAAATCATTACTGGATGTAGGAACAGCTTCATCATCATTAAATATGCTGTACATTCAGCAATGCATTCATGCATAGAAATATATATATATATATATATATATATATATGTATATATATATGAATTATAAAAAAAATTTATTTGATGTAATTAAGAAAATTTTAGTTGAACTGATTTTTAAAATCACCATTGGTTGTTTAGGCATTGCTAATTTTCATAATTTAATAGTTTTAGGTTACACACTTTTGTCACAATAACGATTTTCCACATCTGCATATATCTGGGCCATAAGGGTTCTTGGGAATAACATTGTAGACTACACAGCAATCTTGTGCTTTACAAGTGGATAATGTTTGAAAGGTTTCATTTTCCGTTAAGTGACTGCCCTCTAGATGTTAAAAATAAAACTGGAAGCATTTTCTTCTCGCTTTGAATTTTAACCATATTTAAAATGCATGGCCTCTTAGCAAAGTGAAGTTAAAAAAAATGAAAATAAAACCAGAAAGAAAAATATTAAAAATTAACACCTACAGCCGTTTGCCATTTTTACATTCTACTATATCAAAATAGATTTTAAGTTCTATAATGTCAAAATCATTTGATGAAACCAGATTTGGATTTTGTGGAATAGGAGTTTGTGGAATAATAGTAAATTTTGTCCAGTTTTTAATATAAAACATTAAAAGTACTAAATCCCCACCAAAAACAAGATAAAACAAACAAAAACGAAAAAAAATATATAGGAAAGATAAATGAAAATATATTATATACACATAAACAAACACTCATCCATATAAAAAATGTTTGTATCTGTCTATCTATCTTTCAGTTTTATTTGACAATAATACATTTATTATAATAGTGGATATAATCTGAATTAAGTTTTTACATTTTAATATATTATATACAAATTTATATCTCTTACGTTGATGCATTTTTGTATATACAAACAATACTTTTAAAGAACTTATACTATTTTTGTGTAAATTAATAATACTTTTATAGAAATTCAAAAAATTTGTCATTGAAATATATTTTAGTAAGAAAATATAACACTTATTTAGTAATAACATTATATAGCTGGATATAATAATAAAAAAAATAAACATCGTAATTGTTAATTATTAGTATTAAGAAAGTAACATTGATTTTTTTTCCCCAAGGGCATACACGTGCATTCCCTTTCCTTAAGTATTTTATGTCTCCGGGCTCTCTTCAATTTCTGCTGTTAAGACAAAAAAAGGATGTTCTTAATAAGCTTTTCCTGTGTGATGTCACCGAGTTGTTAGCCTTTATATATAGTGCAAAAAAGTTGGGAAGCATCTGAATCTCAGAGCAAGAGGACAGAAGACAGATCAGATTTCGCTAGCATTTCCCTAGGCAAGACAAAAAAGAGGCATGTCCAGCACCAGACCAGGCAATAGGTTGGGGCTTTTCATATTTGCCCTGTCTAGTCTAAAGGTTAGTCTTGCCTTTCCCAATTCCTCCCCAGTAATCAGTTCTGGATGGGGGACTCCAGACAGACTGATGCACCTGTACACAGCAACAGAATGGAACAGCTTCCACCTGCAGATCAATCATGATGGGCAAATTGATGGATCCCCACATCAAACCATTTACAGTAAGTCTAATTATGACAAAATGTGTTAGACTTGGAAAAAATTGTGACTGAACAACTGAATTAATTTTCATAAGAGACAATATAATCAATGTTAAGAAAACCAGTAATGTAAAAATATGTAGGCTGCTATTAATGACTACTCCTGACAATGCAGTTTGACTGGCTGTCATAGATGGTGCTCTGGATTTGGTACATTGAGGTTGATTTATGAAAGTAAATGGGGCTGTGCAACTTGCAAAGGAACTTTCTCTTTGCTTAGTGAATGAGGTGAAGATCTACTGAGTTTCATCATCCAATCATGTGCAGGCAAAAACAATATTTTTTGCATTTTCCTTGCATGTGATTGGGTAGTCTTTGCAAAGGGAATATTCAACGAATCCACTTGGTAGCTAAGTGAAAATTCCCTTGCAAAGTGAAAGTTTTTTTGCAAAGTGAACAGTCTTTTTGCCTTTAGTAAATCAATGTTGTTAATCAACATCAATAAATCACTGTAAAGATAAGGGTTTTTAACTTTTCTCTGACTTTCATTTGTTGTATGTATGTTCTGCAGCTCTGAAGTACTGTAGCTCAGCATTTTTAGAAGGAGCCCAGCCTTGGCAACACCTATGTTTTACTCCAGTGAAAGCTTAAATTTAATACAAAATTGAAGACAAAAACAATTTTAAAAAAAGTTTAAATTGCTGCTAGCATTTTTTGCCATTTAAAACAGTAACCAAGCAATTACAATTTTCATACTTTAAGGCAACTTAGATAGGTTGTCAATATTATAATTGTTTTCATTACCTGTCATATTGAATCAGGGTTGTAGAGAATCAGCAAGACCTCAGTTGGGTTGATTTTCAAAAGAAATAGATTTAGGTTCCTCTGCACAAGATTGGGTATTAAAAATGAACACAGTCTTACCAGACTTGGACTGTACTCCAAATGAACCTGACTGAGCCCAAAGAGTAGTTTTGTGTGTTGCAGAGTGGAAATTGTATATCTCTGGTATACTTTGTCTATGTGAATTGACATATTTCACTGACAGCTGTAAATAACCATGGACAGTTAAAGACATTTAAAGTATAGAGAAAAATATAAATACTAAATACACAAAAAAATCATGTTAAGTACAATGGATATATAGCTGGAATTCCTGTTCAATAATATATCATAATACATCATAATACAGAATATTGTTTACAAAGTTTAATATGTCTGTCCTGTTTTAAAAAAAAAAGTATAATAAAAAGAAGAGGTCAATGAGATTGATTTTTAAAGGCATTAGTTGCTTATCTAATTATCTCTGTAGGGAAACAAAAAAATTAACTATAAAACTCGAAAAATTCAAAGGAAATTCTGCACAATAATTGTAAAGCATATGAGGCCCAGAACACAGCTTTTCTACAATTTAAAAATTGTAATTTTTTTTAAAATACTGGCAAATCTTGGAAACAGAACTACACAAAGTTTTAAAAAAACACTTAAGATTGTACCAAAAAAAAGTATTTTCTTTTCTTTCCTGTCCTTGCAATATATAAGAATTTGTATTATTTTTTAAATAATTCTGACTTCTTTTCTTTTAAAGGTGCATTAATGATTAAATCAGAGTCTGCTGGTAAAGTTGTCATCACTGGTGTCAAAAGTGGTCGCTACTTATGTATGGACAGATTCGGAGATGTTTTTGGATCAGTAAGTATTAAATCAGTAGTCATGTTCTATAAAATGCACAAAATCTGGTGCAGCTGTGCATGGTAGCTAATCAGCTTCAAACTTCAGGTTGTTCAATTAAGCTTTTACAACAAAACCTGGAAGCTGATTGGTTTCTATGCAGAGCTACATCAGATTTTGCACACTCCAGTTTTAGTGAATCAACTCCAACATGTCATTGTTAAATATATAGACACAATGATTTTTAATTGTCTTTTATTTTATGGAAGAAAATATGTTACCCTTATAAGCATTGTTACAGCACCATGGACAGTTGCTGTAATTCTAGAAACAACTATTTGGTTAGTAGATAGCTTCAGTAAGCCAAAAAGAAGCCCAGCCAGCACAACTTTCATGACAGGAATACTATTCATCAAAAGAATATAAACATTTACAGGTTACCTTTTCCTATTCTTGTGTACAGAAGTTTAGAAATGTAACCAATTAGATTGCTTGGCCTTATCCATTTTCTTACAAGCCATATTGCTTGCTGAATGATTAAAAATAACCAAAATTCTACACTTGCTGCAGAATAGTTTACATACATTTTTCCTACAAATATATAAAAAAAAATTCCCATATTATGGAGACTACCACATTACCTCTTACCATCTAAATAAAAAAAAAACATGCCGAACATATCCTAGACCACAAAGAAGGGGCAGAATATGAGGGTAATTTTTCCCCATCCCCTTCTTCCATCAAGTTTAAATGCACCAGCTATAGGAAGGGAGCAGGATACATGTTCAGCACTTGATTATATGAAGCCGAATACCAGCATTAAGGTATGTTCTGGAGTTATTTATATTTAATTCGGCTGTGAGTAAGGGGCTATATTATTTATTTCAGGTACTTATGTAGTGCCATCAATCTATGCAGGGCTTTATATATATATATATATATATATATATATATATATATATATATATATAGATATATATCTATCTATATATATATATAACAGTCCCTGCCCTCAAGGAGCTTACAATCTAAGAGCCCTAACTCACATTCATACACATACTAGGGCCATTTTAGGCAGGTACCAACTAACCTACCAATCTGTCTGCAGGAAAACATAAGCAGGAGGAGCTTCTAGTCATCTGCTAATGGTCACATGTTCAAATAAGAATAAAAAAACAGCCTTTGGGATACAGAGTAAAAATAAATCATTATTATCAATAAACTGTTTTAAATAGCCATACAAATATATATTTGAAATCAAATCTTCGATCCATCAATTAAGATGTAATATTCCACCCCCACTGTGTTTAGCTGGTTAGCAAGCATGGAGGAGAAGGGAGAGAGTGGGATGTCATTTACCACTGTGTATAAGCCCAAATGTGTGGCTGTATAGTCACATGGATTGCTCAGATGTGATGGAGAGGATATGCTCAGCATAGAAACTCACCGAAATTGAGCATGTGCAATAGCTGCCAACACTGCTCTGCAAAATCCCCAACTGCATTGGGGACATGGACAGAAGGGGGAGACAGTGGGAGAACAGCAGGATCAACCCGTTTTTTTTTCAGAATACAGATAATGAATCTCACAATGAATGAATGAGTATGTACACAGCATTTATTGATTGTTTTTTATGATGTGGGTTTAGTGACACTTTAACGTATGCAAAAGAGATATCCTGATAAATAAACCTGATTGGTAATTATTGATGTGTACTGTTTACCAGCACTACTTTAGCTATGACGACTGCGTTTTCAAGCACGAAACTTTGGAGAATCGCCATGATGTCTACCATTCCCCAAAACACAATTATCTGCTGAGCCTCAAAAAGCCAAAACAGTTTTTTCCGCCCAGGAATGGACTTGCCACCTTATTCTCAGTTTTTATCTATGGAGAACAAGATCCCTATTACCCGATTTATCACTCCTGAACCAGTCAGACACACCAGAAGCGCTGAGCTATATCCAGACCCCTTGAATGTTAGTCGGGAAAAGAAGACAACCCTGAATTATCCAACACCAAAGAATGCACAAGATGTCAGGCCGAATTTTAATCAAGAACCAGTAAGACGTAATCAACATGACAAGGTAGACCCTGATGACCCAATAGGTGTCATCAACACTAGAAAAGTCCACCCACGTCAGCCTTACAAAAAAAGATAATACCTTTTCCAGCACAAGACCTTCCACCAGTTTTCTGAATAGACAAGGACTTGAAGTGACCATGTCAAAGGTTATATTTTGCAGGCTGAATATGTCATTAGACTGTATGAATGTAGCAACTGTTGTCCTGTCTTTACCCTGTTTGTAAATGTAAACAGCTCTGAAATGTCTTCAACCTTCAGCCTGGGTTCACACATGCGGTGTTTGCATATTGCATGTGATCCGCACAGGAACCGCAACGCATTCCTGTGCAAATCACATGCAAATTCTGTGTGGTGCGATTTGAGCCATACATTTTGTATGGCTCAAATCACACTGCATCCACACCAAAAAGGTGCAGGACTAATTTTTTGGTCCTCACTAGAATCGGATTGCATAGGTATTCACATCCGATTCTGCACATCGCACCTCGTTTTGTGAACCTACTTCGGGGTGTTGTTAACTTAACATACACACCCGCAGCGGTTCGCATGAACAGGGTGCGATTGTGATGAGTTGTGGAATTCACACAGAAACCAGTGCGAATTCCGCACCGCATCAGTGTGAACCCAGGCTAAATGCTGTGATTAGCATGGCCAGACAGAAGAGTCAGAAACTGAATAGAACTTCTGAGCTCGTGCTACATTCATGCATTCTAGAAGCATATTTAGTCTGCAAAGTGTAAGTTGCTCTCAGGGTCACTTTAGATAATACCTGCATTAGGTACTATAGTTTAAGAAAAATAGGTCTGATTGAAGAAGCCATTCTGTGACTCAAATGTGACAAACTAGTTCAAGGACAGTGGCTTGTTGTATAGACTTAGCTTCACAGCCACAAATCTAGAGTCAGGGAATGGCTCCCTTCATTGGGAGTCTAATCGCAGTTTGGCTTAGTGGCAGAGATCCCTAATAAAAAAACAAAGCTAATATATATATATATATATCTGTATATAGATATATATATATATATATATTTTTTTTTTCTTCATTGAATTGTAAAATATAAAGCTCTTTGTGACTTTCTGTGCCCTATGGGTAAAATACAGGCCTGATCGAGGCTGCATGTCTGAATTAGATTAACCTTTTCAAGGAAAAAAAGTAAAATGTAATACAACATGCCAAGCTAGGAAGTATACATTTTGGTGTTCGTTTATGACACACAGAATAGCTGAGATTCAGAGGATCACAGCTATTCTCTGGTCATTCACAGTTTATGACACCCAGGAGAATATGTTTCAGCCCTTCTCTGGAGATCTGTGTTTCTCCCTCCAGATTCTCCAGCCCAGAGCTGGAGAATCGGAGGGACCAAAAACTAAGCAGAGATAATTTACCTCTGCTTAGTAAACTGATCTTTTACTGTAATCTCGCGAGATTATAGTAAAATCAGCTGTTTTCCAGCGTTTGTAGACCGTTCTCCCCTTCGTTTGGAGAACTGATCTACATATGCTTCATAAACGGCATTCACAGGAGAACTGTGTTCTCCGAGAATGCCGGAGAACTGAGCAGCGATCCATTACTGCTGGTTCATAAACGGACACCTTTGTGTCTTATCCATAAGGCACTCTGAATAGGAAACGTGATTTTCAAAGAATAAAATAGGACCTATACTAGTGAAAGCAAAGTTATAAACATGTTGCTTCAAAGCACACCTGCAAGACAAAAATAGGCTCATTTAAAGTTGGCCACACCAGAAGTATGTAATCACCTCCTCTTTGCTCCCGACCCACTATGTTTGGCCACAGAGAGCAAAGAAAAATACCCAATACGTCTAGGTATAGGAGCATGTGACTCACAGTCTTTTTCTTACTAACCATTGGTTTCAAAGCCAAAAGGTAAATAGTGAAAAATTCAGCTAATACTTACTGTCTTTGTGCAGCAGAACAGTTTGTCTACCTTTGGTTTTACTTTGTAGTATCGTTCCTTGTAAAAAAAAAAACCATATATATATATATATATATATATATATATATATATATATATGAAAATGCTAGCTGCCTGTCAGTCTGCTGACTTTAGTACTTTCTGAGCCACTGCCCCAAAACAAGTATGGAGAGCAAAAAGATCTGACTTTGAACTGGTTTTACTTGCTGTATGTTTGTTCTGGGCCAGTGACCCAAAAAGTATTAAAGGAAGCAAGCATTTTTTTAAATAGAATTTAAAATGCGACAGCCTCCAGATTTCTCTACCAATAGGCTTCCTTTAAATTGTATGCATAGCTAAAACTCTTTTTTTTTTCTACAAATTATGGATAGAGTGGTGAGGTATTAGAACTCATTAAATGTTTATTGTTGTCTGTGTTCCTGCTAGGTAGGTTTACTTTCTATGTTTGTCCGGGGTAACAACTGTCACCAAGACAGAAAGTGATTGGGAAACCAAACTGTAGAGCTGTCACTGGGAAAGAGATAAGGGTAATTCTTCCAATGGAGTTACCTTTCCAGTGACAACTCTCTAAAAGAGGAACCCAACTAATTCTGTAGAGATTTCTTGTCGCTTTCTGTTATGTGTCCAGGACAGGAATTGAAGAAAAATCACCCCAAAGGCACACAGACAACATTTTAATCTTTCCCTACTAAATCCAAAAATAAAGGAAAAAATTTTGGCTATACATACACTGAACAACATTTTGTCAGGGATCTGTTATTACAAAACAGTACACTTTATGCAAGATTTGATACATGAATAGTGCAAAATCAACACAACAAAAATCACCATACAGAGAATCTGATTGTGCAAAATCCATAGTTTAATGGAAGCATATTGTATTGAAGAAAACATTTGGATGTTCCTTTGGCTCTGCCGAATCCACTCAAAGGATCTTAAGCATAAAGTTTCTGAAAAGAAAAAAGGTATTTTAAAATTGCAACAAACCAGATCCTTCTTTTCAGTTACAACATGAAAGATACAGTCTGATTGATTACTGTGGGCAAGGAGAATTGCTCTTTTTACATATCTTTATCCAAGAGGCTGAAAAATGGATCCAAATTGTTAGACGTCAGCCCTCATGCTACCCTTGGCTGGATGAGCGGTTTATTTTACTTTGGAATGTTGCACTAGTTTAAAATTTAAGGACCACTGGGTCCTTTGTCGCTAACTCAAATGGTCTATTTATTTAATATTTATCTATGAGTTTAAGAATGTAATATGGAACAAATGATTATGTCAGATGATGATAAAAAGCTAAACTGTATATACATTTGTATTTAATCAACAATGTTGAAATCGTATTTTCATAAAGGTTAGGGTTTTTGTGAAATTATTTTCAGAGGTGAAACTATGCTGTTGCCCATTATACTCAGATTTGTCAATGGGTTCCTAGAATAGTACTACCCAAAAAAGCAACTAAATGTTGTCTTTAGGGCTCGTTCACACCATAGTGCATGCAGGGCTGTTCCAGGAGTGAATGTCACTTGGGGCTGCCGTTTTTATACCCACTGTTGTTGGTTGATGGACGCCGATTGCTAGGGCCACAGAGCATCCTGGTTGATGGACACTGGCGGCCCACACAGCATCACTGATTGCTAGGTCACTGGTGCCCTAGGCTGCAGAGTGTCATTGGTAGCTAAGGTGTAGGAGGCTGGGCTATACAGCTGTATTGGCTGTTATTGTGCAAGTGGTCACTTGCACCCCAAAAAAATGAAGCTAAGTGGCCTGGGGCTGAACATGCACAGGTATAGATACTCCAGTCTCAGTGCTGCCCTATGCCTCCATGAGTGCTACCTTAATTGGCCCAATGGGCTGCACAACCCAGAATAGCGCACATGAACAGCCCTGTCTTTAAAATGTGTTACCAAAACAGAGGGTAATCCACCATATATAATTCCCAATTGAACACCAGTGCACATGCAGAGTTAATAGCACATCACTACGCATGAACACAAGAGCTCTGTGCACTGTGGTATGTTTCATAGTCAGAAAAAATCCAGATGCAATTTTCCACGTGTTGAGATGTGTTGACAGCATGTTCAAAATAAGGGTCCATTCATACTAGCACTGTTGGGCTACAGTAGGCTTCACTGCCCAGTGCATTCCCAAAGGAGACAAGCAATTCAATTTATGTCTTTTAGGTGCAGTGCGCATAAAATGCACACCAATTTGTGTGCATTATGAGCATGATAAACATGCGCAATGTAGTCTAAGTAGAGTCTTAATGGGCTGCCTTAATGTAGCACGTGTCAAAACATGAAAACATTTGTCCTAATGCGCATGTGTTATGGTGGTATTAAGCCCCCATTGTCTGACCATCACCAGATAATGGCAGCTGTGGTTTGGCAATCTGTGTTAGGATGCTCATAGATTTAATCTGAATGGTTGTCATGAACAACACCTATGTGTTTCTATTCTCTATTTCACAAATATCCACCAATGTACTCATTATTGAGCAGTCTCCTCAGAAATGATGTGATTGACTCTCTCAGCTGTCTATCAGGTGGGACAGCCAATCACTAAATTTTCCAAAAATAACAGTAACAATGTGGTTGTCTAGGAACACCATCCTTGCACCTTTTTCAACATGGCTGAAAGCTACACATATGTTTTAAAAGCAACATTCTAAATATATTATTACTTCTTTATTTTTGATCAGATGTCTAAATTGAATGAGCAGTCATAATAGTACTTTGTTTGTGGAGCAGCAGAGGCTCCTATTAAGTGGCCCACTGATATATCCTATTATTGCTCGCAAATCAACATACTTTGCACTATTATATAATGTATGTATCGATTTTTAACACCTGTCTTGTTTTTTAATATTTGTGGGTTAAACTAGTGCCTAAGTGCCTTACAATGTTATA